ACATGGGTTGCACGTGACGCCATTCAAAGCGCTCCGATGACTACCAGACAAGAAGGGAAGAGGGAGCTCCCCTCTTATCAGGATCCTCCTTTGTGCCTCCCGGATATGCACAGACGTCGCTATACTCCTCTCAGAAGATTATAGAAGATTAAGCTCTCACTCAAAATTCTTACAAAAGCAACTTCCCTCTCCTCCTTTTACATGGTGGTCAAAAGTATGCGATGTGACGTCAGTGCAAGGGGCCTATACATGGGTTGCACGCGACGCCATTCAAAGCGCTCCGATGACTACCAGAGAAGAGGGGAAGAGGGAGCTCCCCTCTTATCAGGATCCTCCTTTGTGCCTCCCGGATTTGCACAGACGTCGCTATTCTCCTCCCAGAAGATTATACAAGATTAACCCGCCACTCAAAATTCTTATAAAAGCAGCTTCCCTATCCTCCTTTTACATGGCGGTCAAAAGTATGCGATGTGACGTCAGTGCAAGGGGCCTATACATGGGTTTCACGTGACGCCATTCAAAGCGCTCCGATGACTACCAGAGAAGAGGGGAAGAGGGAGCTCCCCTCTTATCAGGATCCTCCTTTGTGCCTCCCGGATATGCACAGACGTCGCTATACTCCTCCCAGAAGACTATAAAAGATTAACCAGTCACTCAAAATTCTTACAAAAGCAGCTTCCCTTCCCTGCTTCTACATGGTGCTCAAAAGTATGCGATGTGACGTCAGTGCAAGAAGCCCATACATGGGTTACACCTACGCCATTCAATGCGCTCCGATGACTACCAGAGAAGAGGGGAAGAGGGAGCTCCCCTCTTATCAGGATCCTCCTTTGTGCCTCCCGGATTTGCACAGACGTCGCTATTCTCCTCCCAGAAGATTATACAAGATTAACCCGCCACTCAAAATTCTTATAAAAGCAGCTTCCCTATCCTCCTTTTACATGGCGGTCAAAAGTATGCGATGTGACGTCAGTGCAAGGGGCCTATACATGGGTTTCACGTGACGCCATTCAAAGCGCTCCGATGACTACCAGAGAAGAGGGGAAGAGGGAGCTCCCCTCTTATCAGGATCCTCCTTTGTGCCTCCCGGATATGCACAGACGTCGCTATACTCCTCCCAGAAAACTATAAAAGATTAACCAGTCACTCAAAATTCTTACAAAAGCAGCTTCCCTTCCCTGCTTCTACATGGTGCTCAAAAGTATGCGATGTGACGTCAGTGCAAGAAGCCCATACATGGGTTACACCTACGCCACTCAATGCGCTCCGATGACTACCAGAGAAGAGGGGAAGAGGGAGCTCCCCTCTTATCAGGATCCTCCTTTGTGCCTCCCGGATATGCACAAACGTCGCTATACTCCTCCCAGAAGATTATAGAAGATTAACCTCTCACTCAAAATCCTTACAAAAGCAGCTTCCATCTCCTCCTTCTACATGGTGCTCAAAAGTATGCGATGTGACGTCAGTGCAAGAAGCCCATACATGGGTTACACCTACGCCATTCAAAGCGCTCCGATGACTACCAGAGAAGAGGGGAAGAGGGAGCTCCCCTCTTGTCAGGATCCTCCTTTGTGCCTCCCGGATATGCACAAACGTCGCTATACTCCTCCCAGAAGATTATAGAAGATTAACATGTCACTCAAAATCCTTACAAAAGCAGCTTCCATCTCCTCCTTTTACATGGTGGTCAAAAGCATGCGATGTGACGTCAGTGAAAGGAGCCTATACGTCGGTTGCACGTGACGTCATTCAAAGCGCTCCGATGGCTACCAGAGAGGAGGGGAAGAGGGAGATCCCTTATCAAGATCCTCCTTTGTGCCTCCCGGATTTGCACAGACGTCGCTATTCTCCTCCCAGAACTGTTACTTAAAATTCTTACAAAAGCAGCTTCCCTTTCCTTCTCTTACATGGTGGTCAAAAGTATGCGATGTGACATCAGTGCAACCCATGTATACCTGCCTTTTTAGAGCGCAGCTCTTAGGAGCCCGTCTCCGGATTGAGTGGCGTCGGCGTAGCTGCGCGTTCCATTATGGGACGTTTCTTATAATGACGTCACGAGGGTAAAATTTTCCCGCTAAATTTTGTCGGGAAAATGTTTCGCTAAATTTGGAGGGAGATTTCTTCTCTAAATTTAGCGAGACGTTTCCCATAATGGACGTCACATTCCGTCACACGTGAATTTTCACGTCCTGTGACGTCACACGTCAATTAGGAAGTTTTCCATGCTAAATTTAGTGGAAACATTTCCTGCTACCTTTAGCAGAAAAATTTCCTCGCTTAATTTAGTGGAAACATTTACCCGCTAAAATTGGCGGGGAAATGTTACTGCTACATTTGGAGAAAAACTTTCCAGCTAAATTTAATGAGAAATGAAGCAAAATTTTTCTGCTAAATAGGAGGGGAGCAGGAGAGGAGGATGGGAGGGTATGAAGGGGCATACCCTCCCCTCCTCCTCCTCCTCAAGAGCTGTGCCCAATTCCGCACTTAAAAAATTGTATATATATATATATATATATATATATATATATATATATATATATATTTTTTTTTTTTTTTTTTTACAGAATTGGTTTGTGATTATTGGGTATGATAAAAAAAGGTATGTCCCTTGAAGGGTATCCTCGCCCTTGGAGACGTGTTTTGCTTCAAGCACGAAGGTGTCCTTGACAGTATTGTGAACCTGCCGGCTTTTTAACCTACATTCTTAGTAAGGAAGCTATTCTCCTAGGGTAGAATGAAAACAAAATAGAGAGATACAAATAAAAAAGGCACAGGTGTTGCATTAAGGGTTCCCTTCCAGATGTATCTTTCATGCTTGAATATGGAACACAGTATGGTGGCGGAGTACAGCCACTTATCTTACCTGAAAGCAGTAATACGCAGATCGAATCCAGTTTTTGTTACGTTTTAGGATGCAGTAGCCAAACTTTTTGGGGAGAAGTAACCAGGCTAGTAATTGTTTTTGCGATTACACAGCAGGGTGAAAAGAACTCAGAAGCGAGAATATTGCTCCAAAATTCGGTCAAGCGATTCGGTGAAAAGGCGTTCAATGAATCGGCGTTCGACGAAATGTCCGCTAACCTCTACTGGGTTTTGGAAGACATTCCGAGCGTGCGCAGTAGCCGTCTTCCACGACATGAGATGCCGAGCATGCATCCACGGGCCAGCGACTCGGCATTTTTCTCCTGGGTGATAAGAGTTGGAATGGTCTACAGGAAGTATTCACTGGACACTATATCTGTGTGTAAATGTACAGGATCATTGTGCAAGCCACTTAACTGCACAATAATGGTCCCCTGGCGAAGTCACTATTAGAAAGTTCACCTGACAGACAAACAGACACGCAGACAGTTGCATAGTCAAGCGTTATGTCGATGACATCGTGGTTTGCTCCTTTCCGCGGGGAGCTGGGGGGAAGGTAGAAAAGTTAATTAGGTCATCAGCCCCAGAACTGAAGTTTACTTTAGAAAAGCCAGAAAGTGATGTGTCATAGTTTCTGGATCTGGGAACTCATGTTGGCAAGGAGTTATGTTGGGAATATGGTGAGGATAATCCGAAGCCAGTGCGTCCAAAAAGGAGCTGCCATTCTAAGAGAGTAAAAGCGGGAGTTCTAAGGTCGTTAGTCAAGAATGCTCTAGACAGGTCATGCGTAAATTACATAGCGAAGGCAGTGGAGGGGCAGTGGGAAAGATTGGGGAGTGCGGGTTACGGAGAAGCTTTTATAAAGAGGCATGTGACTCTATTGACCGAAGTAAAGGAAAAAGGAGTGGAGAAATCGAAGGAAAGGTATGCGCACAATGTGAAAAGTTGACTCAATGTAGTATTTAGCACAGACTTCAAGTTGGGTAATCTCATTTCCTTTTTAATAGAGAGGAAGGCGTGCCAGAAAACCCATCCGGAAAAATCTGTGCCCTGTCAAAACATAGTAGTGTATGAGATAACGTTAGCGTGTGGATCCAGATATGTTGGGCAAACCTAGGGTGCCTTCATGAAGGCACTCTAGGCAAACCTCGAGATGTGTAAATGACAGAACAGAGCACAATTGAGAAACGTAAAGATCAAAGCGGCCAATTCACACATAGCAAAACGTGTACAAGGGTGTAACTGCATGGTAAAGTGGTCGGGAACAGAAGTCGTTTGCAGAGAGGTGAACTATGTCAAAGGGGTAGCAAAAGAGACGGTTTGGATGGATTAGTCGGGCATCGCTGGTTCTGGGTCCCACTTCCAATGTGCTCGATTGATCTGTGCGGGTTTGAAAATGAAAAATTTTTTTTCCCAGGTAACGGTATTTGATGGTTGTCTTTGCAGCACGTTCGGTCAGGGTTCGAAAAGGGTGTGTGTGGGGGGGGGGGGGGGGGGGGCTTTGTGTCTGTGGAAGCTTGGACTACCGGCAGATAAGGCAAGAGTGTTTGCGTGTACTTGGGCCATGACAGATCCGGGAAATAGGTCATGTCGTTTGTTGGGCTTTGGACCTGAAGTTTGGTCTTTCGAATGCGGCGATTGGTTGGTGACGTTTAGGGCTTTGGTATCTATGGGAGTGCAACTGCATAAACTTTCAGCAGAGTTTGAGACGACGCCCTCAGTCTTTCTGTTCCTGTCCCTTCCACTCTTGGTTCTTCCAATTCTACATCCAGTCTCGGGCGGTTCAAGAAAATGGTAAATCTACACCAGCTTGCCTGTGCCATCTGTCCCATTACCAAATTGTATTTAGTTCACTTGCAGCACAATACACTTAGGTGCCCGCCCCCAGAGGCAAACTTAACATTTTGCCACCTTAAGCAGCCTTTACCAATGTCCCCCCCCCCCCCCCCTTCCCCAAAAAAAAAGGCCTTTTTCATGGTTAGTGACTGAGGGGGGAAAGGGGGGGGGGGGGGGACAGCAAAGTTTGGAGTTAAGTTTCTAAAGTACCTAGAATTCCTAAAGTAGCTTAATTCTGAACTAGACTTGGGGAAAAAAAAAAAAAAATTAACTTGAGAAATAGATGAAACCCAGAACACTACTTTTGGTACATTTGCTTTACTTCGTTGCAAGGTGAAAACAGCCACATTTTTTCCATATGTACATTGCTAGCCATTTTTTCCCTTTTAAATAATGCACATAAAAACACATCTATGTACACCAAGAAGCACATCAACACTTTGCACAAGTACAAAGAAAGGATTCAGGTAGTTGAGCAGGCCTGCATCGTGCATCGGCACAAGGCGAGATGTCAATCCGCCCCAGTTCTCGGGTCGCTATGGCACGGGGGGCAGACAGAGCTGGCTTTTCAGCTTCGAGCGTTGCCTCACTCAGGAAAGACGCCGCGAAACAACGTGCCTTTGCAAGAGCCTGCACTCACACCAGAGGTATTTAGGTAAGGCCAACATATTTTTTACCACTGCGGACACTACCGCAAAACTAACCCAATTCAGTGTTCGCAGTTCGGCAACGCTTTCTACACTGACGAAGAAACATCTATGTACAACAAAGAGGTTAGAAGTCCCTATTGCCATCTGGCAAAAGCAGTCGAAACAAGGCACACGCACAAAAACACATACACACACACACACATTAGAAGAGAAAATGCGAGACTGCAATTTAGGTAACCAACACAGAACACTTAACACCTAAGACATCTGAAAATCGGATGGTGGGTCGACAGATTGAAATGTCTCTTCTGCTAATAGGTAAAGGTCTTAACCATCCCATTTTTACCAAATACTCCCATTTTGATAACAAGAAGGTGTTGCATTAAGGGTTAGTCTCGAAATAAACTGGGCCCCTTTCGAAGATTAATATCTATATATTCCCCTCGTCGCCGTTTAGAAATAAAAATACTTACAAAACCTACCTTTACCACTCAACCTCTTTTCGAGGATGTTGCGCATTGTGTGCCACAAGCAACCCAGTAATTCATAAGATGGAGTTTGATAGATGAGCAGCACCATTAGATGAGTGAAGTGGTTCAATATTCGGAGGCTCATTTTAGTAGGATTAATTAGCCTCTTCATTGTCTTTGCATCTTTTGCCACGTTTGGACCTCGGTCTAGAGTCCATTTCAGAACATGTGAATGCTATGGCGCTGGTAAATAATGGTGGGAGCAGCGCTGGCACTGATTGAGAGGCTCTAGGAAGCAATGCCCTTCCTCGGATGATCATGAAATTGTTTTTGACGTTCAATAGACATCCAGTATGTCAAATATAGTCTCACTCCCGCGCTGATGAAAATGGCTCCCTCAATTAAAAAAGGTTGGGCACCAGCCGCAGCCTGGGTGAACTGCTCGTTAATCTAATACTCAAGTTCTGCGACAAGTTCCTCTAATTGCAATTTTAAAACTTCCCCGTCCTTTGATTCCAGTAGAAGCCTTGTGGATTGAGCCATCAAGTGCCTCGAAAAATACCAGTGGCTTAGCATCCTCTGAATATCCCTTTTATCAATTTAGGAAAACGGGAGGTTGCCCAGTAGAAAACATTTGAGATAAGGTTGGCACATTCCAACAGAATTGGCAACAATACAAACACACAATTAGTGGGATCCTACACAACAATGACTGAAAATGTTGTGGGGATACTTAAGTGTGCACATGCTTTTGTCAGATTGAAGCTGATGACATCACAATTCCTAGATGAAACCTTCAAAATGTCAACTTTAAGTGAAAAAAAATGTGCAAACAAATGGGGAGAAGTGATAGGAAGTTATTTGACTGTCTTTGTCAATAAAGTTGTAAGTACTATAGCTTTATCAACCCATTTTCAGGACATCATAAGGTCTATATTATGATTGAACCAATGTTTCCGAGATAAGGACATTACAAAAAAACAAAACATTAACTTTGATCATGCGAAACCAATAAATGTTCCCAACGTAAAAAAAAGAAAAGAAATTGAAGGCATAACTGCTTTAACAGTATCACAATTATATTCCATTTACATTTTCCACATCCCAGTATTTGTCTTTTAAAGTTTTTTTTTTTTTTTTCAGAATACGGGAAAAATGTTTAAATCTGACCACAGTCGAAATTGCTCTGAAAAGAATCCAACCACTTAAGAAGTTGCACTAGACCAAGTGCAAAAGGATACTGCAATGGGGAAAAGTGATAAAAACAGTGATGACCTCGTGAATACCACACTTCAACGCACGCACGGTAAGGCAATCCCGCAGCGTTCCAAATCGCGGCAAACCACAATCTGCAAGTTTCTTGCAGACATGCGTAATATGTTCCAGAACAGACCCGTTCCGCGTGCTCTTCCTCCCCAGTTACAAGTGTTGCAGCGTAACCAACAAAAAAGAACAGATGAGTAACAACACACACGGCACTGGGCTGCACGAATCTCTCCCTCCACTTGCCGAGCAGACGGCGGCGTAATGACTACCGAAAGGCAGACAGCCTAAGCCAGCTACGATGACACTCCCTCGATGACATCCGAACAGCCAGTGTCCTGCATCCCGTTCAAACGCAGAAAAATAGCAACAACAAAATAACAACAAAGAATAAAAACCAACCACGCATCTGTCGTGTCGAGGGGTAGGCACCGTTGGTGCGCCACCTTCTCGTGGTTTGTCCGAAGAGAACTGTGAAGCTCGGATGTGGAGTGTTACCGCGTGTAGCCGAATCCCCAAATCAACGTCTTTTTTGAAGTGCAGAGATGGTCCCTCTAAAGTTTGTCTCTCGGGGCGCTTGTGCAACTCCTCATAAGAAGTGCGAGCTTACCGCCTAGCATGTTACCCCTTCTTGCTACATTTGGTTGACGATCCACGACGGGCAGCATGTTCGTAACAATGCACACTTTGTGCGGCCCTCAGATCAATCTCCTGCACGCAGGTTCGCTCGCACACCCGCCACCCTTTGTTGCAAACTAGGAGCTTAGCTGAAACGCGTTACGATTTCTGGAGTGCCTTTCGTCCGCGGTGGCGACCGGTAGATTCGTAGCAGGCAACAATGCTCCGTGGAGATTTGGGCCACGTCCGGTCACGGTCACGCCCTCCGGCACGAATCTGTCTCGCGTTGTGGGAAGGAGAGACCACGCCCAAACAGGTTATCTCTCCATTTTCAAGCATGTCGTCTCTCGATGGCGAGCACGTCGGTAGCTCGGCGCATGTTTGTACAGGTTTGCTGGAGCAGGCCGTTGCAAATGGAGACCACGGGGCACGCAGCACGTACGTACAGTCGCACCTCCCAAAGCGGGAGTTGCTCGCACGCTGTCGCAGGGCACGCGAGATGCGTGGGTTTGCACCGCCCAGCACAGAGTTACGCGTGCACAGTTGCGGGGGAGCCTAGCCGGGCAGCTCGGGGGGCAGACTCTTGGAGTAGCCGCCACAGCGGGTGTCCAGGAGCTCCTCGAAGATGCCGATGAGGTTCGAGAGGCCGATGAGGTAGCCGTCCTCGTGGTTGCCCACCTCCCAGGGAGCACGGTGGCTCACCGCGCCCACATTGGCGGGCACGGGCACTGTCTTGGCAAAGTCTATGAGCCAGACGCTGGCAGCCAGGCGGTCGTGCACAAAGAGCAGCGAGCTCCCGATAAACTGCAAGGAGAAGAAAGGCCCAATGTCAACTCTGCCGGCTTGCAGGAATGCCACTAAAACGAGCCGCAGCTCTCTCGAGCGAACCACTGTCGGTTTGCAGTTTTCCGTACATCTAGTTTTCGGTACTAGTATCATCAATGAGCCATGTAAGTCAATGCCCCCAACCAAGCGTTTTGTAGTTGCGCACATCTGGCAGGAGAGCAACGAGTCACGGGTAAGGAATAGGTTTGTGCATCACTTGAAAGTGTTTACCACGCACATATGTGTAGAATATTATGTCGATAAAGTATAATCTTCGAAAGTTTTCTCACTTTAAAATGCTGCAAATCGGACACCTAAAAAAAAAAAAATTTTTAATCGAAGTGCAATGTCCGTTCTATTTCTTGAGCAAGCTACTTGTCTATCCCTACCGGCTGGTCATTTGACGAGAAGAAGCTAATCACAGAGGACAGAAAATATCTAGTGACAAAGTAGGTGGCTGAAATCTCTCGCCAGCCAGCATTACCGAAATATTTTCTTATACAGGGGGAGGAGAGAGCGAAATAATTTCTTATACAGGGGGAGGGGGGAGAGAGCGAAATAGATTATACAGGGGGAGGGGGGGAGAGAGAGAGAGAAAAAGTACAAGTTTATGGAGAGTTCGATCCTTACAGGACGTTCAAAATGTTTTACACATATTCAAAAACTTTTTTACGGGAGGTCCACGAAATCCGTTTTTGCATCTGGGTTATGTTCCCAGGCAGACCCTAAATGCAAAAATAATCAAAACCGTGAATTGCCTATTAACTAAAATTTAATTAATATAGTTTCGTGGCAGCCATACTCCAGGACTGTTCCCATTCTGTACAATTTTCGGAACCAGCCTGCATTCCGACATATCTAGCCTTCTCCAAATTTGCCCCTCAATCTGGCACTACGCATTAAAGAACTGCAAAAATCAGTGCAATAGCCCTCTCACTGCTGTCACATAAGTCGTACCACGTGGCATTCTGTTTGATAAAAGGGCGAACCAGATAACAGTTACTCGCCAGCCGAGAGCTGCGGGGCTTCGTGCGTAGAAAGGTCGCTTCCATTTACGTACCAAACAGTTTTTCAAGCCTTTCGCTTGCAAAACGGGTACTCGTAGTTGCGAGAATATGATGGATGCCACAGATGCATCTTGCACTTACCGGGAATGGTAGAAAGCTCGAGTGAAACAAATTGTGTACATTCAAACCACCGAATTTTAAGGATTATTTAGAGTGGCCCAAATGCATTCTGTTCATACCTTTGAGGAGCAGTAAATATTTCCGATATACTGGGAATAGTTATGACCACCTATTCTCGGCATCCGGTTCTACCTGGATCGTATGCAGGGTCATCAGCGGTGTCGCATAAGTTAACGGTCACTGCACCGGCGGATCAGAGGCATAAGTATGGGCCCACGGATCCCCAGTGGATAAGGGTTAAATCTTGACTGAGGCACCCGCAATCTAATGAAGACTTTTCGTGGTGTAGGCCCTTGTGGTTGAAAGTCTGGTGGCACCTTACAAGATTCCCACAATAGTCAAAAGGATATCCTCAACTTTTTCTCGGCACTTTCCAGAAGTCTTTTGGGAATGTACTAAACCCCCAAATCATTTTGTTTACATATGCTATCACTTTTACTACAAGTTCGTTGCGACATTGGCCATCAGCCATCAGCAGCAATTCTGTTAGCACTGTTGCAAGCTATCTGTATGGTTGAAAGCTACACAGATATATCGAAGCTCTTTGCATCAGTGATGCCTACTACAGTGCAATCCACTTATAACAATAATAAGAAAACCCCAAAATTCAGACGTTATAACCGATTATCGTATCTGGGCTAGAAACTGATTGTTTCTAGTCTAGAAGCTCTAAAAACTGATAGGATTGCACTGGAATCGGTAATGGGTCCAGTTATCAGTATTGACATTACCCATCGGAACCAGTTAGTGGCACCAGCTAAGGGCGTGAGTGAGAGTGTCAGATCTCTCGAAGTGCCAAAAAATCCCGCAAAGCCTTTTCGAACGTTCGGTGAACTTGTGCGAAGACATCTGATCAGCTACCATTTGGGCATTTTTCCCAATCCTACAGGTCGCCTTATGGCTTAGAGGGTGCAATGTTGCAACAATTGCCGATGTGCAATCAGAATATCAGACAGGGTCTTCTGACAGTAGTGACCTCATGACTAATTACAATAAAATGTTATTAAGGTGCTCTTCCGATGGAAGATGCTCCCATGACACGATAGAAAAAGTTTCCATACCAGAGACACAAAAGGGCTGCGGAAGTGCACCTACCGAGGAGTAGGTGCACATACTACCGATAATTTTTTGTTTTCCAGCTTGGTAGACACCCCGAGTTTATCCCAAGCTTATCTAACTATATCATCGTAATATTTTGGGACACCCTGAGCATCGCACGCAATGTTACTAAGAAGAAGTCGGCAAAGTTTCCAGAGTAGAGAATGGAAGGCTGCAGTGGGGATGCACGGAGCTTGTGCGTAAATAAGAGGAAAGTATGATGGTATAATACATTTTTAGGAATGAGAATCAAGTTGTTCAATGCACGTTTTGAGATGCATGTTTGGTTCCCATGGTTTGTTTATGCTCTTATTTAATTGCACGCTGCGTGCGACTCCCGGGAGCACCTCGGTGCTTGTGACAACACCCAAACCAGGAGCCACTCACCTCGTGTGCAGCAAAGAATTCCGAGTGTTCGAGGGCGTCGTACAAGGCCCTCAGCCGCTGCAGGTACTTCCCCTGCACAGAGAAGGCCGCGCGTGGTCGCACGTTCTAACACACATGTCTGCCAAAGCAGGAGACTGCTCAATAATCATAATAGTAACAGGTTTATATCTAGTTTCTTAATAGAATACATATTTGCTGTACACAAGCATGAAGAGTCCAACAAATTAGAATACCTAACCCTCTAAAACAGAATAACGCAAACAAAAGCTCCTATACAACCCTCGTACAGTATAGACCACTTACAACGTAACCGCTTATAGTGCAGGACCGGGTATAACGTGGCTTTTTTAAACCACCGGTTCGCCTCCCATAGAACTCCATGTAATTACATACCGCTTAAAATGCAGGCGCGCGAAGGGAAATACCGGTTATACCGTAAAATACCGGGCAAGCGCCCACTCAAACTTTGGAGATAATCGCAAAAAAATAGGGGATGGGCACTTGTCCGGTCATCAATTTTACATATAAAATTGATGACCGGACATACATACATACGCATTTCCTCAGATCTCACAAATTTGGTAATGGGTGCTTAATGTGGAATGGGCGGATGCGCGGTATTTTACGGTAGTGCGGTTTCTGGAACAGCCCGCCGACCGCGCCGACCAACCAACGCAGCGAGCACACTTCCCTGTGCGACACCAGATAACAGCACTCGCCGCAAGCGGCACTCGCGGGGCAAGGAGGTTGCTCGAAGAAGCGGGGAGAAGCGAAGAGAGAGGCTTCAGTTGCCATAGCAACGGAGTGACGCACGCACTTGTTGTTCACGTGCGTGCATCCCTCCGCTGCGTTGGAAAACAACCGCAACGACAGACCAATCGCAGGTCGAGGAGAAGTGTTCGTGCGCGTTGCTTGCCGATCGCGGGCCGGCTGCTTCTATCCGCAAACATGGCATCGGCCGTGATCGTCGACGTAGACGGCGTGGTGGAAGCTCATCGTTCCGCGTGAAAGCGCTATCCTTGACTGTGAATTTTCGTTGTGTGAGCGAATAACCCAGCACATACTAGAAGGGAAGATCCACCTACTTGTGCGGCGATGTTGTGGCGGCACTCTCAAGACTGCAGAAACGCCCGTGTCGTCGTGTTTGTTTACTTCGACTACAGTGGTGCTTTCTAAGCATTTGTGTTTTCGAACATCGCCCAGATTTCTTATTTGGAGCATTTCATGCCTGTGCTCAAGTTGAAGGTATTACTGGCGCGTACTGTATAAAGGATGCGAATTTTCACGCGTTTTTATCACCGGAGAAAAGTGATTAGGGTTAGCAATCCTGAACGCTCGCAACGTCCGTTTGCAAGCCGCGACGCCGTTAAAAGGCTGCGCCAGGCGAAAGTCGCTCATTTATTTCAAAATGTGTGACACACTTGAGAGAGAAGTGTACTAGTCTGGTGAAATAAAGACTTTCTTCAAACTAAGCTTTATTTTTCATCTAACATAAAATAAATTTTTTTACAAAGGTAAGTTGTCTCATGGCATGTATTTTGGCCTGGAAAATTGATGTTTTGGTTATAGCGCGGTACCGCTTACAGTGCGGATTTTCGCGACTCCCGCGACATACGTTATATGCGGTCTACGCTGTAGACCTTTTCACTCTCAGTCGTGTGAACGCCACCATCTTGGAATCGCGTGACACGGCCGCCATAAGGTGGCTTCAACTTGTCGCTCCCGTCTTCCCTCCACGCCTTGACAAATGCATTGCATTCGGATTTTTGGTTGCGTTTCACAACATTTCTTGCCTTGCTCGCTAAAGCGTTGTCGCATGCCTGTATTTGCGACTACGAACAGGCCCCACCTGTTCTTTCGCTACCGCTAAGTGTTGCAAAGAAGCGCGGAAAGTACTCGACCATAACGCTAGAAAAGAAGACGGCAATTCTCAAGCTAATAGAAAGTGGTCGAACGCAAGCGGTGGCGCAACCCAAAAGCAAGGCACTCCCGACTGCTTTTTTTAAGCCCGCTTAGATGTAATAAAGGCACGTTTTTTAATGTGCCGATTTTTTGGACTGCTCTATTATTCGGACATTTTTTCAGTCCCTCCGAAGTACGAAAAGTCGGGGTTGCTACATTCATGGAGCAAGCCCAACCGTCAATTTTGGTTTTGTGTTTACAGGTAAATGCCAGAATTTTCAATCTGGAATGGTGACGTCGGGCAAACTTCGGCCATCAGAAAATGCCATAGTGCCATGTCTGTCCAGTTAACTGCACTGATCATCCACATTCCTCTAGGAGAGGGGTCTCCACGCGACCCCCCGCTACGTAGTGGTGGGTCACGTGAACCATGACCCGCTGCTACATACGCAGAAATAAGCACGCGCAAAAGAAATTAAAAATAAAACAATAAGTGTTGCTGCGATGCAGATTAAAAGCGCAAACAAAATATCAGAAATAATAGTTAAAATGCACAGCTTTTTTTAACTATCAATTATTGAACATTGTCATCACCAGCATTACTGTCTCATGTCTTGATTAACTTAAAATTTTTTTTTTTTGCATTCTCATGCATATCATGCTTAGTGTCCTATTGCACACTGTCATGATCAGATATGGCATACTCATTTGTTTTCTTCCCTGCGCGACTACACCAAAGGTTTGATTTGTGCCCGGTCAAATCTCTGGGTCCCAATTATTTTGCAATGCCATAATTTCCAACATATTGCATTTAAAAATTACCGTATTTTCCGGGCTATAGGCCGCACCCGGTATATAAACCGCGGGGCAAACTTGTGGTCAAAAAAAAAAGTATTTTGCTTAGGTAGTCCACACCCGGTGAATGGTCCGCAAGCCGTGCATAGTCCACACCTGGTGCCTAGTCGACACGAAAATATCCTCCCACACGGTACACGTGGACAAATGTCTGCTTTCTTAGCTCACAAAGAAGCTTGTATTATACATAAACCATCACTAACAAACTTTCATTCACAAATTTTGTCATGACTCCCATTAATGAAAGATCTTGTAAAACAATATTCCTGTATAGTCCGCACAACCTAATACTTCAACTTTTAAACACGTACAGTGTGCAGACTATAGCCAGGAAAATACGGTAACTACCGTAAAATACCGAGCATGGGCCCATGTAACATTAAGGGCCCACCCCCTATTTTTGAACGATTTCAAAAACAAACAGAGGACACATCAACCGCCCACCCCCCATTGAACGATTTCGAAAAATATGCAAAGAACATGGCAAGCGCCCAGTCGCCGCGGACAGCCGTTATCTCGTGAAGTTGAAGCGACCGTTGGAAAGGAGTATCCAGCGAATGGAAAGCCGCGCAGAGCTTAGCGCGTGTGCTGCACACGTGCCGTGTGTCCGAGTGCCTCTGCCCCTCCGCTTCCGCTTGTTGTTCGGTGGTTCGATTAGTTCCGTGTTCATCGCGCTGCATTGCTTGCGTTCGCTCTGTTCACTTGTTTGGACGATGCACTCGTATACGGTCGCTAGGAGAGCTGAAGTTGTTGAATGGCATAGCCGCCACGGAAAGAATGTAAGCCGGACATCGCGTGAACTCAAGATTGACCGTAAAAGAGTGCGCGAGTGGGACTCAAAATGCGAACTGCTCCTGCAACAGAACCATGGAAGACCACTGCTGAAACGCAAGCTGAGTGACGGGGCGCCAGTTTTCAGTGAAGAGGTTGATGATGCCTTATTTGAATTCTTGAAGGATGAACGCACGGCTGGCCGCACGGTCAGCAACCGGCTTCTAGAGGCACTGCACTCAACGGCAGCGAGGACAGGGAGCTGCACCAACGACTGGCATGCGTTGGATCGCCATCGGTGCCCCATGACCGCGGTGCCCTTGTTTACGAGTGTATGGACCTAATGTTTTGTTCCGACTCAGAAGAGTCTTGACGGCTTGACTAACGAAAACTAGAGTTCATTAGTGCTTCTTTTTTTTTTTTTTCCATTTCTCTCAATAAACTGTTCATATCCATGCTTCTGGAAGGTTTCTCTGCTTTTATACGTTTGCATGCTCGGCGAATGACAGCCCTTTTCCAAGTGCATAAAATGGCCGCCATTTTGAATTCGGCTGTCGGGCCGAGCAAGGGCCCACCGGACTAAGCGATCCTTCTGAGTTTTTTCTCTCAGACCTAACAAGCGCCCATCCCCGAGTTTTCCGCGATTATCCCATAATTTTGAGTGGGCACTTGCTCGGTATTTTATGGTATGTGTATTCATCCAGCTTACATTTTTGTTCACATTTAATGTATTGTATTAAAGTGCTTATTTAGGCTTGTTTATTTAGTATTTCCTCGTTTATATTGTCTTGCATATTTTCCGGCCCTCGAGAGTGTGACAGGTCCCCAATCCGGTCCCATAGCCAAAACAAAACGACCGACAGGTCCCCGATCCGGTCCCAAAGCCAAAACAAAACGACTGACAGGCTCCATCCAATCTGGCCCTGTAGCTAAAACGAGACTGACCGGTTTCCTATCCGGTCACGTAGCCAAAACAAAACGACAGTGACAGGTCCCTAATTTGGACCGGAGTCCAAAACAAAACAACCGACAAGCCCCCAATCCGGCCCCGTAGCCAAAACGAAATGACTGTTACCGGTCCCTAATTTGGACCAGAAGCCAAAAGAAAACGACTAACAGGGCCCCATCGCCGAAACCTAACAACTGTGACCAATTCCCAATCCGATCACATTGCCGAAACAAAACGACTGACAGGTCCCCAATCCGGTCCAGTAGCTGGTTCCGCAGCCAAAACAAAACATCTTAAGGCATGGGTTCCCCAACAAGGTTCTTAAAGACCAGGGGGGTTAACCAAACTCCCAAATTTCCTCGTCCGTCCCTGACCCCAAGCAATTCTTGAGTTTGACCGCTACTTTAGCATATCTGAGTCACTCACTGATGCATAACTATGTGCCAAGCACTCTCTAGAGAAAGCATTACTATTATTCACAATGCCTTTAGACTCCTGTACTGCTCTACTGAATCAATGCCAAGGCAGAGTGGTTTGTCGGCTACCATCAAAGCTAGCCAGGAGTTCCTCAGGGTAGGAAAGTTTAAGGACCGCTCCTGCTCTAGGGCGCGCCGTCAGTCCTCACCAGCGCGTCGTCGAAGCCCTTGGTGAAGGTGTCGATGGCGTTCATGACTTGATCCCTGGACTTTGTAGTCTTGAAGTCCTTGGTGGAGGTGCCGTCGGGGTTCTTGATGCCCTCGATGCGGAAGCCCAGGCTGGCCGTGGAGCTGATGGTCTCCCGCCAGATCATGTAGCGGGGCTTGGTCACCGCCTTCAGGTCCCGCTCCTCGGGGGTCGGCTCCTCCGGGTCCACCGCAACCATCTTCTCGTACATGTCCTAAAGCAGACGAAAAGCAACCTGCTGTCCAACCGGCACCCCCAGACAACGTACCGGGCGGCATGAACATTCTATGCGTGTCCACGGGACATCCGTGGAACGTCGGGACATCTCGAGGATGTCCACTGAACCATGTTTGCTGCCGGGGATGGGAGGAGGGGAACTGGGAAGTCCGGATGACCCAGCCCCGTCCCATTGCTAGGTTATAGGGATTCTGGTTTTACAGCGTTAATCAGGATGCTTCAATAAAAGCATGCCGAACAGCATTTTGTCGGTTCAGTGCAAGGGAAGGCCTAAACTACAATAGATTAAGCCAAAGCAGTGAAGCAGGTGAGCCGGTATAAAGAAAGTAACCAAAATGACTCCCATACCTGCCTGTTCCTTTTAACTTAATGTTTCCTCAATCTCTGATATCCATCGTTCTACAGCGTTCATGATAATTTCATTCTAGTATCCTTTACATAAGTAAAGACACTGGCCAGGGTGATCCTACCTTCAAAAGGTATGCAAACAAAAAAGCCTAGCGAACAAATTTTTTTCTTTTTTTTATCTCAATGTTTTTTTATTTACTTTTTCATGCAATTTTTACTGTGATTTTATGCGGCAGTGTCACACCCAGAAAAAATACTATAACTCAACATGGAAGTTGATCCTCCCAGTTGCCAACTGCAGGAGATGAGATTAGAGATTAGTCAAGAACGAGTCGAGTGAAATCGGTCAAATGTGCATTGACTGGCAGGGGCCAAGTCCGAGGCATCTGCATCGCTGGCACCGACAACAATTATGCTTGCTGCTAGCAATTTTCAAGCCACTAGCAATGACGGGTGCATTGAATTCAATGTCCAGCTAGAAAAGATTGAGGCGTCTACTTTGCCGATTGAAAACTCATTCATGCCACTGCTGCCAAGGCTGACCCACAGCTGTGCATGAAAACATCTTTTGACGATACTGACACACCTCCCCAACAAACTTCACTGAAAATCCAAAGCTCCGCTCTGTCGACGGTCACTCCCAAGTGAATCAAGGCAGACCCGGTGTCCATACTGTCCACAGAAGCCTGTTTCTGTAGTCACTTCATGGTCACTGTGTCCATTTCCAGACCAGTCGTGGGTGCGCCTCCATCAGCGTAGACGTGCCACAGTACCTTGCTGTGTCATAATGGCACCTAATATGACATTTGCACGAAATGTGTAAATGCAAAATTTTTACCCTGCGTAATGAACGCACCCCCCAAATATGTGTAGATTTTTCAGTAAAAAAAGTGTGTTCATTACGGGAGTAAATACAGTAACTTGCGTGGTAGTCGCCACTATTGCTAGGCTCAACATCCGACAAGCCAAACAAATTTTCAAGGTCCTGTCATGTACGCCCTAATTAACGGGAGCCCCCTGCATAAAGAAAAACCAACATTTTCCTATGTATATTATTTAAAACCTTTTATTGTTAAATAAAAAGTTTTTATTATAAACAGAAAGAGTTTGGGGTTATGCTGCACCAAAGACCTCAGAGTTAATCATCTGTTCACACGTTTCCAACAATGAAAAAAAATGTAAAAGCAAGGTGCTAGCTTTGGAATGCAGTCCCGATAGTCAAGTGCTCAGAAGCAGTGTTGCGGACTGAGCACTCCCATTGAATTCCAACTCCATTCCGGGGAATCGAAGTTACCAGTAACTCCATTCCTTTCAACCGACGGGAATGGAGACACTGGCCTTTTTCCTTCCCACTCCTGGAGTGGCTGAACTGTTTCGTTTAATTCCTAGCCGTGAAAAACGGCTCTTGAAATCCATACGGTGCGGCGGCAAAAGCAGCATAAAGCTGACATTATCAAACACATAGATGACTAAAAAACTATGCAAAATGCGCCCCCAAAGCACCGATTCCACTAAGCCGAGCAACGTTTGCGCAAAGCGCTTAGGGGAACTGCAAACATTGACTGTGCAATCGAACATAAAGTCATGGTAAGAATCCTAATACCTCTTACAAATAACAATCTGCAAACACTGTCAGAGGCACGCTTCTTAAAAACGTCTAGTTCCTGTGTGGCGCAAGAAAAAGCCACCTTGCAGTCTGCTTTGAATACCTGCGCAACAACACCGCTAGTGTGCTGCTAGAAGCGTCGCCACACATACCTGCCCCAAATCTCCATGCACTACGGCAAGAACACAAAATCGCTGTCAATAGTATCAAGCTGCCGGTCACCTTAAATGCAATGGTGCTGTCTCAAGAGCCACTCTGACCATGTGCTAGCGTTGTGCCAGATAGCAGTGGGCACATAGCTGAAGAAAGGAGCCCATTCCATTCCTTCTGCACTATGGGCAAAAAGGCACTAACTCCATTCCCATTCCATCCGAGGGTCGCGAAAGCACTGAATGATTCCGGAATCATTCCAACTCCAGAGTGGGCAGGATCACAACACTGCTCAGGAGCACACTGAGAAGGCATAATGTCGTGTTTGCAACACTTTCTGAAATTGGCGAGGAACGTAGTAGGGTTTTTAGTGATTTAACCAACTACTCCTAGATTGGGAGTTTTGAAACTAGGGTCGGCGGACCCTAGGGCTGCAGTGACATTGGTGGGGGTCCGCACTGATTCGGAGATCGCTCCACCGGGGACATGTAAGGCACCGGAGAGGTTTAAATCGCCGGACTGAACATCCTTGCAGTTATAATAGAGGTTCCACGAGTCCCGTCATGTTCTTGCCAGTTTCAAGTTGAGTACATTTTTACTATGGGCTTTCTCGAAGCGAGTGCCGAGATACGCGTCGCCATTTCTGCTTTCCACTGCAAGGCAGCTTTGTCAAGACTCAACCTTAGAGCGTCACAAACAATAAACGCGACTTAAATTAAGCCACGCCGATGAGCTAAACTTTTTCCAGATTACAGCGATGAAAGTTCCTCGATGTATGTGCAACATGTATGAACATACTCAATGGGGCTCCACAGTAACGCAAAGTTTGAGAAGCAGTGTCCAATGCAACGAGACAGTAGTGGTGTCTTTTTTACGCCCCCTACCAAAGATCGGCGTGGCACACAAATTGAGCACGAGTGTGTGTCAACTTCTGGCTCAGACTCGCATTCAACCGCCGAGGGTTCGAGCCCCAGTCGAAAGCCGACACAGCCCTCGCATCCAATCTGTACCGTGCACCGAACTCCAACAGGGGGCGCAGAACATCCAGCACCACAGCCTTGTCGTCAAGGATGCTTTGGGTTAACTCGTCAACCGGCGAAGCGAAGCCATGAATGGCTGTGGTGGAGCTTACCTTCCGCAGCTTGGGCTTTTCCCTGGCCTTGGCTAGCTCCTCCTCGAGATAGGTGCGCAGCCCCACTTTGACGTCCATCACGCAGGGGCACTGGAAGCCGGCCAGCAGGTCCTGAAGCTCCAGGTACACTGCGGGGGCCAACGAGAAAGCTCGACGAAAACACCCAGGGAAGGCTAAACGGGCAGAAAAATGAGACGGTACGTCCCAAGAGAGAACGGTAAGCATCCTGCGGAAGACCGGGGGTAGGCGAACTACAACTAGCGAGCCTCGTGCGGCTCTTCGCGGGTCCAACTGAGGCTTTTGGCTTCCGAAATGTCTCCCTTGCACGATTTATGCCCCATGGAGAGAACCGACATCATCAGCTTTTGAAGCCGCGCCAGACGGCACCTTCCCCTGTCCCGATGTCGTCTCTAGCAGAAATCTGATGAATAGGCTCCCATTGGCTTGTGCGCGTCATAGTTTCAAGGAACGAGGCTCCCATTGGATGTCGCGCAGCGTAGTTCCAAGGGACGCCACCAGAGAAGCCCTTTCCATGGCGCCGCAGCACACGCAGCAGCCCAGCAGTCGGTAGGAGTTGCAGGCCTGGCCGCAGAGCCCACACAAGCAAACTGCGAAGAGGCTGCACGGCCGAGCTCAGTGCGGCGTGGCCACTTCACAAGAGTGCGCACTCGGCCACTGGCTGCTACCTCGGCAATAGCGAGACTTGGTCGTACACGCAAGCACGCCGCTGACGGACTAAGGGAGCGGAAGAATGACATTCATGCTTTTGCATTTACAACTCATAAAAAGTGCTTCCTCGGAATTTTTACTTTTTCTTAGTAAAACTTTGCCTTGGACGATCAGGCTTTCATCATGATGACATTTCTTTTTCCTTAATAAATATTTAAATGTTATTTTGATGCGATAAAATCCCAGTCCACACAGTAGCACTAGTTAAGGCAGATGCGTGACTTATACTTTTACGTTCGTTACTCCCGAATGTATGCAGTTGATGGCAGGTTAAGAGTTCGGAAGAAGCTTGCAGAGCAGACCTTTGCTAAAGAGGTCATTAGCAGACCTGTGTTAAAAAGGGAAAGGGTGGGAGGAGGTTCCCCCGAACTCTTGAACTGTCACCGACTATGAAAAATCTCCCGCTTGCTTCGCGCTCATGAATAGCACAGGACCTAGCTGCCTTTTAGTCGCTCATTCTTCGTTTAGCTCGCGACTACTTAGACTCACTTCTTACGTTAAAACAATGCTAGTTAGTCGGAGACGGTGAATACAGGTGTCTGTACGTTTGAGGCTTCTTCGCCAATGGCTCGAGAAAACGCTGCCCACACTCACCTGAGCCGTCGTCCATGTCGACCCTCCCCTTGAACTCTGGCACGTATTCCCTGAGCCACGAGTCCCTCATGAGCTGCTTCAGGCACGACTCCTCCTTGCCACACAGCTTCTTTAGGATCGTGCCTTGCGTTCCCGAACGGAAGTTGCCTGCAAAAAAGAAAGCAAAGCTCGCATCAGGGCATCTGCCAAGATCGCATTTCCGAATTCCCCGACTCGTCCAGGTATTCCCCGACTGTTTTATCCAAATCCCCTAACGACCCCCGAGGAGACGCTGCGTGCATGAAGTGCGGCATTTCCGTGAAGATGCCGGCGTATCTGTCACACTTATAAGAACGCGAGAGAAGAAAAAGAAGCAACAAAAGGAAAAAAAAAAAAAAAAGGACAACATGACGACGTTTTGATATAGGACCCGATATCTGCCGGCTTCACCGGTTCAAACACGAGATGTTTTCGCCCAAGCAACAGAAATGCACTAAACCACCACGCTGTGCACAGCCTGTAAAACCAGTCTTTAAAGGGGCACTGAAGTTATTTTTGAAAAAGGTCGTTTTTGATCTTACATTGTTTAAAAGGTGTTAGTTTTCACATGTACCAAGTCCTATAATACAAAACTGCCTGTTCATCTCAGGGCAATAGAAAAACATCTGGACTCTTTTTTCTTGCGGACTACATTCTGTGGACCAATGAAAGCCCTACAATACAAGCAGATTCCGAATGATTTTATTATAACTTGTTTCAAAGAGAGTCTGATAGGTACACAATCGGATAAGACTCCTCTTTTTCTCTGCGGGTAAGCCATCGCTTGCAACTCGCCGACATGCGCCCTTTGTCAACCACTTCACATCTGAAGAAAATTCTTCCCAAAAAGGGAGTGTTGTGATCCTTGGACACGCTTTTAACAAAGAAATAAGCTACGCACGATTGTGATTTCTGGTTTGTTGGGATGCTTAGAGCATCTAGATTGAGTTGTCACTACAAAAGGATGATCTCAGAATCTACTTCAGTGTCCCTTTGAGGGTGAGTGGGGAAGCTCACAAGGCGAGCTCTCGTTTTAGGTGCGTGCGTTTCGAGAGGGGGCAAATCAGGTTGGATCTTCAGGTTTCCGTTAGGTTCAGGGCAGAGATTTGCTTCGGCACGCCGACCGAGTTGCCTGCAATGTGTGTCACACAATACATACATCCCTTGCCGTCGCTCAGAGGAGAGGAAGCTCAGTTTTTTTGACCCACGCTGTTTGCGGTAGAAATCCAGATTTTTCCAGACCTGCCAAATTCCCTGATGATTCTCTGGTCTTCCTTTTTGGCAGACACCCTGTCAAATGCTTTACTGATTTCTTAAAGAGCCCTGAACTCCCAGAAGCATTTAATTTTAAGTGGCTCGATGATACATAATGAACTAACCTCGAAAAAAACAATATTTTTTATAATTATGACGCAAGACTCGTTTTGGGTTAGGAGTGGTTCCGCACTGCGCTTTAGTTTCGAGACGACAACCCCGAAAAAGAAGCAAGCTTTGGAAATCCAGTCTCACAATGTAAATATTGCACAGAATATTTTTTTTTTTTTTTTTAATCTTTTGTGTGCTACACGTTCTATCCAAAAACATAAAAAAATAAATAAAAAAGGATTGGGGAGTGCAGTGTATTTTTAATAGCAAGCTTCTATCCAATCCTTTCCAATGCCTCCAAATGAAGTTCAGACTTAAGCTAGTTGACAATGACCAATGAACCCTCTAACGGTAGAGCTTTTTTTTCCAGAAAATGTTTCCCTGCGGTCGGGTTCTGTTTCCAAAGGAATGTATGTATAAAGAAAGGGCCAGTGTCCAGGTTTTTCTTAATTATCCAACAAGAGCACATACAGTACTTGCAAGCTGTTCTGGTTTAGAAGCATCAGCAAAAAAGTTGTCTCCTTTCTTCTACTTTAGCGTGTCCGCTTGCGCGATATTGCGGCGGTCTCAGATTCCGAACCGGAGTCACTCTACAGAGCTTCCCCGAGGGATGGTAAGCTCTCATCCTCTGAATTCAATTCTCAGAAGCGTTACAGGTTTGGATTGGAAGAGGCAGGCTCCAATCGCCACTACCTCCAGAACAGCAGACATGCGAAGCCACCATTTTGCAAGCATCATCAGCACGAAGAGCCCAATTGCAAACCTATAAATAGCCCCAGAAAAGAGAAACACTGTGCTAACATAATGTTTATGGTTTGCCAAGGACAAAACAAATAGTAACACCTCCCAGGGTGTGCACGGTTTCGCATCTAGGCGGGTGGCTTCAAATGTGTAATCACCACCGTATCTGCACGACGGCGACCAACAAAAGTTGAAAAGAAACGGAGCAAAAATGACAAGGGATTAGACGGGTGGTAGTGCAACGACAAATGCCGCATTGTTTGGCAGCATACTTTTCCTCTTTTGTTTCATCCCTGTAATTTATGCGCTATTGGTGTCTGAGAGAGTACCCCGGTTCACAGAGAACCACAGAGCAAAACTCAAGATGTTTCCGGAAATATGTGGTGCCCCCAGCGTCTGCTTCACGCATTGCGACTTCCAGATGTACGGCACGTGAAATAATTTAAGAAGCGAAGACGAAGGTGACGTTGGTTTAACAGGTCGCAATTTCAGAACGCAGAGAAGGCAGCAGGAAAGCAAAACAAAGTATGTGATGACCTTCTTTTACGTTCGCTTTATATTTTTGTGTTCCAAGCTCCTAATGATAAGAAAGAATGGATCGTGCCTCTACCAGGATATACGAGCGTTCAGGCCGGCACGAGCGCACATCCAAACAGCCCCACAATTTCCCTCGTTGCAAGGTCTCCTGGGATTTTCCGGAAAGGTCCATTAGAAAGAAACCCGGTCAAACTTTCCGGAAAGGTTTGTTAGAAAGAAACTTGGTCAAATATTCTTAGGAATCGCCATGTCACTCATAACCCCGCCAGAGAAAGAGTTGCTTTCCGGCATTGCAAAACAGGGAAATGACGAAGTGCCGTTTGGTTTTAAGACATTCACGCCGCCTCCAAGGCCAGAGGTATGTACTCTCACCGCAGTCTTTTTTTCCGCAGCTCACGTAACTTGCGAGTTGTTGGGCATGACCCATACAAATGACTGAAATGCAGACTCCAAACTTTCTGTGTACTCAGCTTCTTTTCTATTTCACGGAAGTATCCACCGTAGGATGTGAGAAAGGTTTTGCATGTCCTAAAACAAACTGAGAGTTAAAAACAGCAAGAATATTTAAGTATCAAAGTCAAATCTAGGGAACAAAACAGAATGCTCGCGATACCTTACGTGCAAATTTAACAGCTGCAATTCACACTACCTTAGATTCAACAGGAAGTGTCTCTAACGTAGTTGCTTCAACTATAGGGATGTGTCTTTGCGTTATCGTTCGAAACAGATGTCGTCGAGTTGACGCTACACAATAAGCAGCACGTAAGCCAAGAGAGAAGCACTAAATGTTTGTTGCGGTATCCCTTTTCCAGTAACAGTTACATTAAAATGTCATGCCTCTCTAAGCTTTAGCAATTCTCGGTTTTATGTCATAATGAAAGCTATAAAAATATTACAAAATTTGAAGAAAAAAAAATGTCACCATAAAATATAAATGTACATATTTAAAAAAAAAAAATAAGAAGAAGTGCAATGTCAGGTATAGATACATGACTACAAAACTTAATGAAAAAGGCTTAATGTCAGGTATAAGATACACAACAAAAAATCTTAAGAAAAAAAAAAGCATACCGTGAAATACCGCGGAAGCGCCCACTTTGTTCAAGCACCCAATTTGAAATAAGATATGACTACACATTTTCAAGAAAAAAAAAAAGCATGATGTCAGGCATAAAGATACACGATCGCAAACTTTGATCGAAAAGGCACAATGTCTGCTGCAAGTAAGGTTCAGGTTTTTCCAGATAAATAAAACAAAAACTCTGATAAACTCGCTGATAAAATTATTGTCAATTTAGAATCATAAAAAGAAAAAACAACACTTTCGAGGTCACTCTGGCAAAATCAAAAGCAAAAATGTAGCATCTTACAAACAAAGTTTATCAAAGCACAAAATTAACGTTCCTAAAAAACATTTTATTTTATTTATATTTTTTTTTATTTTAGATTGTTGAAGGGAGACTACATTATTTGAGATTACTAAAGGGAGTTTCTTCTTGATATCGTCAAGGTTCGTAAGTATGACAGACAATATAATTCTGGGTCACGAAAAAAAGCCACTGTTCCGGTTTCCTGTTTGGACCATACTGCTAGTGTGCCTAAGGGCTCTCCAAACAGGTCACCTCAAGAATGCGTGAAGAGACACTTCTCCGCCATTAGAACTGCGGTGCTCCGTTTTTATTGTTGTGGTGGAGGGGGGGGGGGGGGGGGGGGGGGGGGGGGAGATTTTCTTTGCCAAGGTCCACACGTGTCCTTCACGCGGGCCCAGAGCATGCTCATCACGTGGGTCCGGACAGCCACCCACATGTTCTGTTGACTGTCAGTCAATTGCTCGAGGCCGACAGCCAAAAGGTCCCGAAAACGGGAAAGGGAACGATACAAGGGTGCGGCAGAAGAGATGGACAGGCAACAGGCACACCGCTCGCAGGTGGCACACGACGTCGCAAAAAAGCGGAGGAGGCAAGGAGGAAAGCCGCAATGTTTGCCCGGTGCATGTCCGAACAGAAGACGGACTGCCGGACTTCGACTTTCACTTCGTAAGGCGGAGAAGTGTCGCCTCGTGCGTTCTAAAGTATACTGTTTGGACACCCCTTGAGGGGGAGGAAAGGCTCTGTTTTTATAACAGTAGAAAGTGTGAACCTGTAGGTTTCATGGAAGGGGGAAAGGAAGCTGAAGGCTTTTATGCGTCCTAACGAATACGTCCAGGAGTTTGGCTATTTCAAGGTACTGACGTTTAGTGAAGTCACATTTTCTTGCAAGATGTGTTGTGGGACAGTTAGCCGCCAGTCGCAAGAGTGCCAATGCCAAATGCAGCTGGCTGCAGAAATATCTTTCAATACTGGCGAGTTCTTATGAATTTACAGCATGTTTTTGTCGGGACACAATTTATTTTCATTTTGAAAAATTGGGAACAAAAAAGAATTAAGCTCAGAATTTCGGAGAATTGAGAATCTAACAAAAAAAAATAAACTCTAATGAATTTCGAGCGAAAAATTAACTTTGAAAACATAGAACTCTAAATACAAGACAATAAAATTTGAAGAAAAGAAACCATAATGTCAGTTACATGAAGCATGGCTATGAAGTTTAAAGGGGAAACAAATAAAATAAGCAATTGTCTGTGGCATGCAGGGACATTTTTGGATAAAGCATATCTTGCAGTCTCGGACATTACACAGTCTTGGAAGACAGCAGTACCCCGACTTCACTCAAACAAAGACAAAAAAAAACCAAACCGAGAGGGTCATCACCTTGATGTCCAGCAAGCTGTATCCAGGGGTACTTGTACTTTCGGTAGGTCTGGACAAAAGGGGACCAGTGGACCACATTGCGCACCTTGCGCCACGCCGAGGGCTGCAACAGAGAAGACCAAAGCGGGGGTTGAAGACGGAATGATTGGGGCTTTACGTCGCAAAGCAACTGAGGCTACGAGCGCACCCCAAGGAATGCCCGGGGAGGTCGCCGCCCAGAGTTTGAACCCGACACTTTGCACCCCGGAGGACAAAATAGAACCTCGGCGCGTCGGAGGCGGGGGCACCTCGTAAGAATGAGCACCGACTAAGAGCAAAAAACCAAGGGTTCTCAGAATCACTTTTAAAAAATTTGAGGCTTTTCAGAGTTACTTAAAGGGTCCCCTGCCATCATTTTCAACATTCTGTTATTTGTGGTGATATCTGTCATCAATGAAGCACACTGTGCAAGAACCACACAAAGCACAAGCCCCAGAAATAGGCATACTTAATTTTTGTTTTCAACGAGTAGCCAGCCTGATCCCATACGAGAGCACAGCATGGTGACAAGTATGGGCCAGATACAGCACAAATGTTGTGTACCAAATAAAATACAAGAAAAGAAGCAATCACAAAAAATACTTGGAAGGCTCAAACATTAACGTCCTCGAGGGGAAGTCTCACTTTTACCAGACTCCACTCACGGCCTCAGATATTTCCCGCACTCTGCTCTGGCCTGTCCAAACGCTCGGCTGTCCGGCAGAAAAAGTGAGCTGAGCCAGGTCTCTAGAGCTCTGCATTTGGCACTCATAAGCCAACCAGAAACGGAAACGGAACTCGTCTCAAAGCATGCTGTCAAGTGTGAGCTCGTGGCATGAAGCTTTCATTTTCACTGATCTCATCATCAGAATAAAAAAAGGTCGATCTCTGTTGGATTCATAATTTTTATTTGCTATTCCGGTCTTTGCACTGTTTCGCTGGATGACACCTCAGAATGCGAGATTTAGTGCAAATCTTGATTCATCGTGGGAATGGCGCAAGAACACGAAAACAGAGACGAAGAAGAAACACACGGGATAAGGGCACACTATTAACTGACGAATGTTGTTAGCAAGGCACACGAAGACGATGCTTCATTTTATGGCAGCATAACGTGAATATGACACAACGAGTTCCCACCAACTCGCCCAACTATCCATTATTCTAATGTGAATCGATACTTGTCCTGTGGGGATACTGTCTGGGTTGATGAGACAAGCATAGAATTTTTTTTTTTTCCTTGCGCATGAAAACAGTTTTTTTTAACTCCACTTACGTGCAGGGACATTTGTTCTACACCTTTTGCGCTCTGAAAATGTGGACCTTCAAATTTCTGATTTTTTTCTCTGCTGCCAAAGGTCTGCGCATTGCGGCGAGAGGTGGGGACCCCGTTTCAAGCTACTCCCGAGTTCCGTAGACCGACGATAATGGTGATTACAATAATTCGTGGCCATTTCTTTGTATTGTTTGATTTAAGTTGCAAGCACCACCAAGCGCCCCACAGTAACAGCCTCTACCGACAAATGCAATGGCCCGAGGAGAACGGCCAGCGCACATAAGATATCGGAGGCCACGCCCCACCAGTTCCGTCACCCTTTCCCTTAGCTAGGGGGCGACCCGATCTGATGTGAGGGAGAGTGAATTGAAAAGCCCCCACGCTGTTATACCACATCCACAAGTAAACTGACAGTGCAATGGATGCCACATGCGCATTGGACCAGTCGTGCATAGTCTTTCACCATGGGATCATGCTTCCGCTTATACCCACGTGCAGACAGCAGGGGCAGGTGATGGAAGAAAGGCAGCTGATTGGTCCAGTGAGCGTGTAGCTCCAACCGCCCGCGGCTTCGTGCAAACCAATTGCTGCTCGAATGTTCACCAGTAATGTAACACGACTAAACTTTTCTTTATGTATTTGTAAACACAATCAGCCTAAGATAACTTCTTCGAAATTATGAATATTAAGAAAACATGTGGCTTGAATTTTATGTTTTGAGGGATCCCGTTTCTGCACAAATATGCAAGCAGCCTAAAAATGATGGGAGGGTCCAGAGATGAAAAACCCTAAAATAACATATTCAAGTATATTTTCTGACGTGGCAGTGACAAAAACTAGTGTTCTAGAGCAACGATTCATTTCTCATTGGAGTGAATAGTGTGAGAATGATTTGGCTGGATACAGACAAAACAATCAGAAATAAAAATGAAATTTAATTGACTTATTCAAAATGTAGACCTTAAAATGTTAATCTGTACAAACATTGCTCAAACGGTGCAATTATTTCAGGGAGAAGTGAATAATGTGAATTTTTTGATGAATGCATACAAAACAACTGAGGATAAAAATGACCTACTCAACTAATTAAAAACAGAGACCTTACACTGTTACAATCTGTACAAGAAAGAACTACCCCTATTGTTGTGGAGTGGTGAATTATTTTGATAAATGCATACAAAACAACCGAAGATAAAAATGACATATTCAATTAACTTAATTCAAAATGTAGACCTCAAAACATTACAATCTGCCGAAGAGCTACACCTATTGTTCTAGAGTGGTGAATCATTTCAGAATAAAGGGAATAATGCGTAAATTATGTTCATGGAAGCAGGCAGAAACGCAGAAAATGACTGTTCGATGGCCTTAACTAAAAAAGTAGCTTTCAAAATGTTACTATCTGAACAAACGATGCGCAAAGCTAGCAGGGACTAATGGGAAGAATACAAAATGAATCCCCTGCAAAGAGAAAGATGGACACATGATTGTTAGCTAAGAGAATTAGCTCGGCCACATGACACATGATTGCAACGTCTTAAGGTCCTGGCAAAACATCAAAGTTTTGAAATCGAAGAGTTTTCAAAGGATTGTTTAAAATTTCACCTTCCCAAAGCCTTAAAAACTGCAATTTCAAACTCGGTTTTCAAAAAACTGTGGGTGGTATCAACCAGAGCCGTATATGTAGAGAGTTTGGCCATTCCTTGGGAAGCATAGACCTTTTTCACAAGGGCATTGCCATCTTGAGTTGTCGTCACTTCCGGTATGGGTGAATGCCTTGTTTTGTCATTGCCACGCCAATAGATAGCGTTTAGAATATAAGCGTAACTGTCCCACATTCTCGTTTTGACTCCCCACTATTTTTTACAATTTGCAGGTTGACACGTTTTATTTTTTTATTTTTTTTGCCGCCCATACCGGATATGCCTATTTGGCGGATGAGGACGTGAGTACACAAAAAACGCCTAAAAAAGACAAATGAGGAGGCACCTTTGGCCGAAAGTGGGCTGGGCGTGTTCTAGGGCGTCTTCACAAATTCGATTGTGGCCAACCAGATGCCGGAAATAATACCCTGGCAGTGGTTGCGAGAAACAAACTTGATAGGTGCGTCGGAGTAACTCTCGGTAACTGAAAATATGGCGTACGTGATGTTTCAATCACGGTCATCCAAAATCATGGTGGAAGAGTGTGACTAGTGGAACGATCGACATAAACCGTAAGCCAAGCGTCGAGAATCTGCCGTCCGAGCAAAACAGATTTGAGCGGCCGCATTTGTTTCTTACATCTTTCTGCATGATCATGATCGAACCATTACGTGCACTCTATTTTCAACCACAAAGGGTTACTACACTTCACACTTACGCACTTAATAAAACTATGTACGAACATATACCGTTGATTAAAACAGTTTCTCGCTATTACCACCAGGGAATCCTTTTAGGCTTCTGGTTGGCCAAGAAAGCATGTCAAGCCCACTTGCTGCATCTGGTGTATGCCCTGCATCTGCCCGCGCCTCCGATTGACCAAACTCTCTGTATACACGGCTCTGGTATCGACAAAACAATGTGAAAAAATGTTGCGGCAAAATGTAGTGACAAATAGTGTAGCAACAAAAGGGGGGGACAAAAAGTTGTGACAAATTGTTGATACAAAACGTTGTGACAAAGTTTTTAAATAATAATAATAATAATAATAATAATAATAATAATAATAATAATAATCTTTATTTCATCTTTTCCACATATAATTTTACAGATATTCATACCCCACATAAGCCTAAGCGGCTTGTGCGTAGGGCAGCGACAGAGCTCTAGTCACTTATAACAAACCCTTTTTTACACTTGTTCAGTTCCTTGCAAACAAAAGTTTTAGAGTACTTGAGCAGCACTAATCTTGATCCACCCCTGCTCAATCCAGCCATGAGAAAGCACAAAAGAAAATAACTACAGTGGTCCCAGGGTTTCACAAATAAGTTCCATTCTTTTGTTCTTCCTCATCTACACCCAGAAGCATTTTTTTTACCTGTTTTTGCTATTATGCAGAAAAAATATGTTGACAAATGTTTTTTTTTTCCTTGTCCATACTCTCTGCCACTGCTTTTTAAAACAACAACTTGGCAGAAAAACATCCAGCATTAAGCTTTAGAGAAAAGATTTCGAGCCGCTGAACTGGTGCCACCATACAATGTCATGTGAGCATGCAACAATGGTGGTACATTACTGTGTTAAGCCCAGCTGCATTAGCCAAATCTACATTACTGTGCTAAGGTGTTTCTAACAGATAAAAGAGAAAAAGAAATGAGGTGCTAGTTTTATGCCATACCTTCAACCATGAAAAAAAAAAGTTTGGGAGAACACAAAGGCACAGGGAAAGTTTTTTTTCACCATACCCCTATCATGTGTTTGCCCAATCTCAAACTGCTCATGATAAAAGCTCATCAAACTTAAATAGTAGAAAGAATAAAACAATTTATCACCAATGCACTCAACAAAAGTATAGCACATCAAATTGCTTGCATTCTTTCCTATCACAATGCTTCACTTGTGTTGATTACTGCAGTCCCTATTACATTTTTTACTATTACTGCAGTCAAATCTACAGAAAAAGAAGTTTTAGCAGAGCTGACCTTTTAGCAGCTGGGAGCCAATGCCCGATCCCAAACTGTTCTTCGTGATAGAAGTTTGTCAACCTGCTTTGTGTTCTTTCTTATCATAGTGCTGCACTTGTGATAATTACTGTGGCAAAATCAGTGGTTTTCTGATGAACAGAAGTTTCAGCAGGGCTGCCCTTTCACAAGTTGGGGGCCGCAA